ATGCGCCCGTTGAGGGGGGGGTAATGTCACGAGTTGGTACGGCGCCTAGCCGTTTTTTAATTTTTTCCTTTTCGCGGGCTCGAACCCGCGACCTCTGTACTACCTGCCCGATACGGACACATCATTATCTACTGTACGATCAGATTAGATAGGACGGCAGTGCACGGCACAGCTCGGGCCCCGCTGACACAGCCGCTTTGACTCACCGGCCCCCGGGGCCGCGTCGGCATGCTGTGCACAGACCAGCTGCGCACGGACCAACGTGCACAGCCTGCCCTAAATCTTCCCATGTATATAAACTAGCCTCTGCTGCCCTAGGGACCTCAGTTTCGACCTCTTGTCCCTAGGTCAGTAAGCTCTCATTTGTATCCTTTACTTACCTTTACTAACTAATACATTTCTTGTCCCTAGCCTTAGGTTTGAGCACTGCTCACCATCGCTTCGGTGAGAATCAGTCGGACGCCCCCAGCTCTTTTTAGGTTTTCCCCTGTCGCTAGACCTCAAGTCGCGACAGAAATCCCACCTTGCTAAGACTATGGTAGACTATGGTACACAAGGGATTGCTTGTCATCGATCACCAAAAGCAGATCCGGCATTGCTACAGCCTAGTGCATGATTCGTTAATGAGACTTACAGCTTCGATCCTCGCATGAGCTTCGCAGAGTGAATGAAGGCGCAAGGCTCTTCCGCAAGATCTGACATATAGAGGTGCAACTATGTACGTACCTATGTTTCAGATAATGAGCTGCAAATTGAGTCTGCTTCCCGAACAGGCACAAGATTTCCGAACGCGGGCATTGGAGGGCGGTGGTCGCCGGTTGAACCACGTACTATACTTACACCTATGCCAAAATACTGATGAGTACGGGGTGCGTAGGCAAGCTTCGGAAGAGTGCAGGACCTTTCTCCACCGTGTATAATCTGCGATGAAATATAGCATCAGGAAAATGTCCAAGTGCCATTAGCGCTATATGGCCGGGATAGCCAGATAGCCTGCGCAACGTGCCCCCGGTATATAGCACTAGCACTATATATCACCCTGCTGCCGCTTTGTAGCGCGAGATAGCAACCTGTCGGAATATATAGCATGTGCTAGGCATCTATAGCATGCGCGCTCAATGCTATAGCAGCTATATAGCACTAGCTAGGAACCCTTGAACAGTGATGCTCGTGTCATTGCATCGCTTTCGAAATTTGTTTCTCTGACACGTTCGTTCACCTACTTGCGTGGTGTACTTACCGCTTTATGTTGTTCATGACGTGAAAACGCCATTCGAACCCGACGATGGGATGCCTCGCATTCATGTCTCGCCTGACCACCAGTCAGTGTGCGGTTTGAAAGCGCGACTCACCTGTACTGCGAAAACTTGAATCACTCACATTATCCAGGCTCGTCGCCGAGTAGTGTTTTCATGCCGTTCTCGAGGACCCACACTCACCTGTGGCAAACAGTCTACAGTCTGAAATGGGACGCAGGCGCACCTCCACTGACCCAACTATCCATTCGATGAAGCACTAGCGTATTTCAGGACTACACAAGTGCGTCGCCGAGCAGCTAATATAGAGAAGTTGCACCTACCCAAGAGGACACTACACTCGCGGAGCCATGATATGATGCGCGGGTCTAGACGCAGGGGAGGCAGTAGGCAATGAGGCAATGAGGCTGTATCCAATGAATGTGAGCGAGTGTGCTCGTTCAGTGGCTGCTTGGAGAGGCACTTATACAATCAGGCAAAGTGGAAATTGATTAACCCATGTCTCTATTGTCTCAGACTATAAGCTACAGATCATAGGATGCGATCTGTTGCGATGGAGAAAAAACAATAGAAGCCCGAGCACACGCCTCTCCCAGGCCGCCGATATGCAATCGACACTCCCTTGTCTATCTTCCACCGTCGCATTTACTGCGCGGTAGCTCAATTGTGTGCCCGTCTTGTCGCGGTCGTGCTCCTACGGTCAAGCGTCACAATCGGGAGCAGGCTCGTCTTGTTTGATCACGCTGGCACACAGTACGACGGCCAGTGACGCCACCCGTACAAACACGTCTCCATGCAACCTGATGGGACAAAGATGACGACCAATCCTTCCGGTTGCACAAACGCAGCAACCGTCTAAGCCCAACCAGACTCGAACTCGTCGCATCAGTCTATTGAAACCTTCTCTGCCTCAGAAACCAGAGCACGTCGAACGGCTGAGAGATGATCGTAGTGAATTGGGAGCAGTTTTGCTTCTTCAGCACTGAGGAAAGACACAACTTGGTTGAAGCATTGCAGCGCTTCGCACGCATCAGTCAAGGGCTTCAGGAGCGCGGTATGTTTACTGCGAGCAGAGAGGGCGCCTGGATCTAGTGAGCGAGTAATCTGAGTGGTTCTACTTCTTGCGTATGACTCAGGAACCGGCATGTACGCAGTGCAAACCCCATCGTCGCTCGCTAGACGCTGTGCCTCAGAATGAGGCCACGCGGACGACGATTGAAGGAAAGCGGCAGCCAGCGCGAGTGTTTGCAGACCAGAGGGAGGCGGTGTCCCGGATGTCGTGGCAGCGGGCCTCACCTGTGGGGAAGCCGACGGAGATCTCGATATAACAGTGTCGAGAGCCTGCTGATCGACCGAGTAGTTGGGAACCGGCATCTTGGAAGCTCCAACGGGCCAAGAAGAGGTCGTGCCCTGATCGGCAGGCGACGGGGATCGGGAATTTGAAGCAATGAACGCGTCGATGTCAATCACTGGCCGATCCACTTCCGGCGCGATGTCTGGCTGCGGATCTAGGGAAGGCGATCGAGCGATGCCAGCCGCAAGAGCGGGGAAATCTGCGATCGGTTGGTCAGGATGTCCACGGTTGGGTATCGTGGAGCCAGCGAGATGCGCCTCGGGCGATGGGGATCGCGAGTTTGAGGCTAGGAACCCGTCTAGGTCGAAAGCAGGATGCGTCTCGGGGGACAGACTCGACGCATCCAGCGACTGAAGCGCATGATCTTCGAATATATCCGGAAGTTGAGCGTAGCTGCTCTCTGCCGCCTTCGTGGTGACGAACTGGTCCCTGGTGACGCCCCCGCGACCGAACGCCACCGTTCGCCTGTAGTATTCGCCCCATCCGAGGACCTTTTTCCCGACAATCCCGTAGCGCATCTTGAAGTTCCTGAGCCAAGTCTTGCTCGCCTTGAACGTGGGCATGTGTCCCGAGCAGAACTCATCGCGGATCTTGATAGCCTGAGCGCGAATAGCCTTGCTGGTGACGTAAATATCGTGGAAGGCACATTCTCTGAGCCAGAACTGCATGCGGTCCTCGATCGCAAAGACACTTAGGCGTCTGTGTTGAGAGCGTGAGTGCGCGCGCGAACGAAGGCAAGAAAAACTGATACCGATCTCGGCAGTACTTGGCGGACGCGATAGTTCCAGGGTGCGCCCATCGGTCTTTTTCTTCCAATATTCTGCTCACCGTCGATCGTGCGACGCCGAACTCAAGTGCGATGCTTGCATGCGTGGCGGACGGGTTATTAAACTTGTACAAAGATACATTTTTGCGCATCAAGGTAGAGATGCGGGCGTGTCGACGCTGCCGCCCCGTACTCGCACTCGGCGAACATGGAATAGACGGTGATATTCTCCACTTGTGATAGTTGGAGGAAGGCCTGAGATGCAATATATGAGGAGGAAATGACTGATATTGGACCAATGTCTGAGACTACCTTTGATCTTCGTCGGGTCGGCGGAAGCCCAGTTAGGGTCCCTCTAAGGACGTCGTATCCAGCATTTTGTACCACTAGAAATGATGCTTGATGCAGTGACGCAAACACCTCGGGATACGAGAACGGTTATCGAACCAACTCAACTATTGCGCCAACAAGAGATTAGTTGAGTAGGCTCGACACAAAGGACGGATCGACGTACCATCTTGCGTCTGATCAGCCCCTAAGGTGTTCTAAGCTTCGATATGTGTCTTGAAGAGGTAAATGAGAAGTTTCCTGGAAGGGAGGAAGCGGTAGGGGAGGAAGCATCCGCGTCACAAGAGGGTGGGTATCTGGACACGGGCAAAGTCAAGGCAGCAAGATTACTAACGTTGGTGTCGTCATATGCCTCTGTAGGTCGTGTATACATTGACCCGCAACGTACCTTAATCAACAAGTAAACCTGCGACGCTTGCGAGTGGTCGTGTAAGAGAAAGAGAAAGACGGGCAACCCGGCGGGCGATTGGTGGGCAGCTAGGAGCGCATCACGTGCTATCACTTAAACGACGCGTCGCTCGAGCGACGCGTCCTCGCAGACATGGAAGCCAATGATTATGCCGCAGACTACAATACATCATGTTCAATACAGTGAGATTACAAGTACGATTTGCTGATACAGTACGCAGAACACATTATAACGTGGTGATGATACAAGTCCTTGCAACAGACACCAATCTATAAGGGTACATCGCGATCATGAAGTCCTGCTTCGCTTGCTGTGTTTCTTTCAGTGTCCATGCCGCACCTGTTATGGAGGAGGAATCGTGTAGCCTATAATTGGCACCCAAATATTGTGACTCACCTTGCTCAACCCGAAAACGAATAGGTCGTCTATAGCGAGGGGCTGGTTGCCACGGAATGAGAGCGACCTCGGTTCGTTGGAGAGCGGGAGTTCTCGGCGACATAGCTGCAGAGGATGTCAGGACGGAGTGCCACACTGTCAAGGCGAACCCTGCTCACCTCGACGCTTTGCAGTATTAAGGTGTACACCCATATACCTAATTCCTGTCGTGTTAGTCCCTGTACAGGGATGTTAGCACTCACCGCTGTCCATGACCCATATCCAGAGAACTGTGGAAACAGGGGTGAGAATAGATATGAAAAACCCTGATACATCTAGTACATACCTGAACCCTGACATGCATGTCGTTTCCGCCCCAAGCGCGCACCACAAGTTTTGTGACGTCGCGCACGTAAGTTTCGACAAGCCCTCGTTGCAGGGCTGTCAATCGTACACCTTTGCCCTTTATGCTTCCTGTCGGGACGAAGACGATACTGTCTTCGATTGTCGTACCAGGAGCCGTTGGCAAGATATGCACACTCGATTGCTCAGGAATGTAATGCATTATGATTGGACGAAGTTAGCGTGATCGAAAGAGTCTTGAGGATACAGGGGTGGAAAGTGCTCAAATAGGACAAAGTCACTAAAGTAGAAAGCTAGTAGGTAATGGCGGAAGTGAAGCGACGCTGGAGGCAGGTATGGTGGCGAGGAATAATAAATATGTAACGCGCCATAGTCACAGTAATTCTGTGACTTACGGTGAAGAACACCACCTTAAATATACACGCCAACCTCCCTGAGACGAGAGCTTCCAGCCTCATCGCATCACCCACCCCATCTTGAAATCAACGAACGACCACCATCGGCTTCAGCTCAAAGTATGGATCGACTGAAACTTGCGGGCCAAGACATTGAGGAACCACCGCCATGAATCGAGAAAGGGACGCAACAGTAAGAGTAATAGGACCAGGACGCAGGAGTCGACGTAGATCCAACACTTCGTCGACCTTGACCTTCCATCGGCCGCATCATGCGAGAAACTTGGATGCAAGTCGTGTATTCTGCCGGCGTCGCCATGATGGTGCCAGTCTGAGGTGGAGGGTGTCGCCAGAGCATGAGCACAGGTTTGCAAAGAGGATGAGCTGCGAAGACGACGATGGGGGCATTGGAAGAGCATACGCGGAAACCCTATCAACGATCATCTCCGTCTTATATAGGAACGCTCAATAGATCGTGTCATTTGTGGCCCCGTGCCTGCCACACATTCTATTGGAACGCTTCACGTATCAGCCGCCACATCTTCCCACGGCCTCGAGCTTTTGCATTCGAACAGCAAGGAGCTTACCTGTATTCTCATTCTCAATACATTCATATGAAGTCCAAGTCGTTTCGAATTGGGGCTCACCTCGCAACGATATATGGCCACACCTTTGGAACACCATACGCGACTGCTCGTTTCTGGGCTGTTATAGGGCCTGACCACAACCATCCCTGGCTCCAATGCGCATTGTGCCTACAACAGCGACTATGATCTTTGAAACCCACGTCGCGAATGTTTGACTCAACAAAGACGTACCAAGGTACAAACATGTTGTGTTCGTCTTACTGATGAGATTGCACTGTGAGCTGCCACGTCATGACGGTGACGGAGGAATATCCGGTCAGAAACGAATGTAGGCGCTCCATCAGCTCGTCAACTCTCCAATTAAGGTCTAAATGCGGACCATAGGCAGAGGGCGGATGCGTAAGTCCTCTCAGCACAGATAGCCTGATCCTGGTGCTAGGACTAACGAATGCTGCCGCTAGCTCACCGTAACCTATATTGCGCTTCCTAACCAGACTCCCGTCAAGACGATAGTCTTGCAGAGTCCGCGTCGAGATTATGGAGGGTCGTGTCGATCCGCGTCTGTCCGTCGGTGCTGTGAGCCGAACTGTTCACGATGTCTTTCCCCACGAATCTTGCGTGTATATACCGAGTTCGCGCATGCTAATGAATGACGGCTGGGACAGACTGGTGGCACGATCTGCGTTGCGATAGCGGTATGAAGAGATATCCGTCAGCCGTCTCGATTTGTCTCCATGTCCCCAACTGCCTTCGTGCGCGAAAGGTGCTCGCCTAGGATCCCTCCTTAAATTTGGATGAGCGTTGAATATTGCTGTCGGCGGCATCTTCATAAGAACCACATGTGTCAATAACGCATTCACTGCAACGTTCGACTGCAGCAGCGATCCTCAAGAGGAAAGATCCGTGGTACGCACCTCCATCACCCGCCTCTTTGTCATACCGTACGTTCGTGCACCACCTGGATTCCAGGCTCTCGCAAGCGAACATGGGACGGGTGCTCGCCACAGGCTAGCTCCAGGACAATCCACGTCGATTGGTACATCTCCGTCCTTGTTGAACAAGCGCAGCATGATTGGAGATGTACGTGGTCGATTTGGTGCAAGTGAAAAGCTCGCGTACTGATCAACCATGTTCGTGAGAAGAGAGGCGCGTCTTGTATTTCGGCCACAGGTGGCTTGTTGACAGTGCGTGCCACTTGATCAGATCGGTGCCTTTGAGCCGCGCGGCTTGGACCCGCGAGCCTTTTGTCCGCTTTGTGCAAGAAGCGACATTGTCGCGGTGGGCCGTCGTGGCCACGGCCTTATTTCCGGGATACAAAAGGCGGCTGCGTTGGTCCGCCAGAATCATCCGGAATCGATAGAGATTTCCACTCCTCCTTTCAGCTCGGAATTGTACGCACCGACGCTATGGGCCACTTTAGACATGCCTTTTCGCTCTTCCTTCATCTCTTCCTGATTCAATCGTCGACACGTCAAGTTGAGGCTATGGTCTCCCTGGCCACGCAGTCACTTCGGTCAAGAGAAACCGGCGTACGACCGGACAAATCGACATGGGCGTATGTAAATGTGTTGTTGTCTTGCATTCCTGTCTCCTCACCACCGCGCCCAATCTAGCTCGCCGTATGCCGCAGCGACTGCAAGGTACAGGAGAGCGAGCCTTCGAAATGAATCATTCGCCCATTTCACGGGCCGATAAGGCTGTACTGGTGAGCATTTGCTCGCTTTCAGACAATCTCGTGCTGATTGGTTGTGCAGCATGGCCCGCACATGTCTCCCATCAGGATCGTCAGGTCACTTTCTACGTCATCTGGACTCACACTTGCACACTCAGCAGGAATATTCCTCTGTTGATTTTAAGCCTGTGTGCCAGAGTACCGGCGTTTTGATGGCCTGGCCACCGTGTACAATCTAGTCCGGCGGCTATCTGACCCAGAAGGGACCGCGAGGACTATTTGCGTCGTAGTGGGCAAAGAAGCGGACTGCACACGATTACAACTGCTGAAAATCGTCAAGTTCCAGGTAAGCATTTGTTCACCTCAGCAAGATGGCGATGCTGAATACTCGCGCAGACATGCAGCGAGGCATACCAGAACGCGTTTACTGGTCTGCTGGAGGGAACTGTCGTTGGCGCGAAAGACCACTGCTTCAGCAACGCCTACAGGCATCATTTGGACGAGATTTGTTACATCATTGACGACCATATATTCACCAGGCTACACCCAAGGTATTAGCAACACCCTACCTCCCGACCCGCCCTTAGCATCCTTCCACTTTCCACCAGCACCTACTAGCTTTCTTCTTCGCTAACTCTGCGCAATTTAAGCGCTCTCGATCTCTGCTTCCCAAACGTTCCTCGCACACACTTTCCTATGCTTATAAACAATACATAACATTTATACAAAAGCCGCTGTTGCCACATATGTGGGGCGATGCGGGGTAGATCAATCCCAGTATAGAAGAAACGGCTTCAGAAACGAAAGGGGGCCCGTCTTGGATACAGGCAGGCTGGACTCGGAACGCCCAATTCGAGTCCACGACCGGCATCTGCTCAGCCTCGTGAAGATGTCGCCTCCGATGCACCATATTTACGTTCGCGTCCTGCCGCCCTCAGGAGTGTGGCGACGCCAACATCTTACACCGATCGCTTCGTCTCCTTGTCCGTCACGTCTTCGCGAGCCCAAAGTCAGTGAAGAACTGAATAAATATACATCATGATTCCATACTGCAAGACAATGACCGAGCGAATGTAGGAAAACAGAAAAAAAGATCTAGCCATATAACGATGTTCTTTCGCGAGTCGAGCGCATCACTGAGCGTTCTTGATGATACGTCGCCGACAATCGTCGCCAACCGTTCCGAGTCTCTGGTTCTTGCGCTTCGTCTCTGACTATCGCAGTCATCCATCTTGCACCGCCGACTCGCTCTATCTTCTTCATTGATGCTCCTCAGCCGCCGGCTTCTGCTCTCCGTCGCCAACGTTCGCTCCTTCACCGCACCGCTCGGAGTTACCTAGTGCGGTTACATAGGCATCCGGCTCGGGCGTTGGAGTCCGCGAAATCATGGCCGACAACTCAGCGAGGTCAACGACATCATGAACCACCACTTCAGTGCAGAGACGAGAGATATCGGGTGGCACGTAAGTCGGATCGTGAAGCGCCTCCAGTCGTTCAGGGTATGTGCTGAGAATGTCTGCGGCCATCCTGGAGGCAGCATACGGATCCGGACCTGCTTTCCCAAAGGCGGCTGACCGTTCATGCTTTGTGCCGTTAGCAAAAACCATCCCCATAGCAATCCCGTGGCGAAGTTTGAAGTTCTTGAGCCACGTCTTGCTCGCTTTGAAAGTGATCTCACACTCCTCGCTGATCCTCGTTGCCTCGTTGCGTATGTCCTTGTCGGTGATGAGCTTGTGCGCAAGTGCGCGTCTATCGACCCAGCGCCTCATCTCGTCCTCTATTTCGAAAAGTCTCGAGAAGCTATGAGGGGTTCAGCAGCATCCCCCGGAAGATAATATGAACGAAGTGCATACCTATATCTACAGTATTTCTCTGATGCGATAGTTCCTGGGTCTGCCCATTTGTCCTTCATCTTCAATATGCGGCTTACCGTCGCCTGACACACCCCAAAGGAGCCAGCGATAGCCTTCTGCGAGGCATCTGGGTGACTTCGCTTGTAGAGAGCAATCTCCTTACGCATAGCGGTAGAGACACGAGCGCGCTGACGCAGATGTATAGGGCCTGCGACCACAGACGCCGGCCTTTGTCCTCCGTTGGACCATGCAGACGGGTTGTCCAGTTGTCCACCGCGCAAATCTGGCGACATAAGCACTTGCGGAGGTCTGTAGGACTAGCATTAGACGTCAGCGAAAGGGGGTCGCCTCAAGAGCTTGAAAGCCAAGTCACCTCGTCCATTGTACTCCTGAATAGCTCACTTCGATTGGGTCGATGCAAGCGACGATTAACTTGTGATAGCCCAAGGACATACATCATGAACATACCGAAAACGATCTTAAGGCCCTTCTCTACTGCACTGTATCGTTGTCGGCCGCGATGGAGGAATAGAACAAGAAGCGTTCACGAGGCGAAGTACTGTGTTTAACTCCTTTGTGTGGCGAGATTAATAATGGGAAGAAAGGGTAGAAGATATCACTGACCCGGGTTTGATGCCGCAAGGAAATATGTATGATGTGTCGAAACCTTGCGACAAAGCCTTCAACACGAGGTCATTCAAGGATGGGAGTAGTATGTTTCAGTCGGCGCCACTGATAAGCCTCAGAGGACGCGCATCATGTGATTATGGTCAACGCGACGTGATGACTGCGTGCAGCGGGTTCGCTGACACATTTGCTGGTCCTGCAGACTGTGATTGATTGTATGATGGGGGTGCTTTTGGCAAGAATTCATGTATGTGGATTACGCTACAGCATAGCGTAAAGCACAGTATATATACAGTATGACATGCTTCAAAGCTCGTTGGAAATTAAAATGTGGATAATGATAAGTGCTGTCCCCGAAAGTAGTATGGATATGGCCGCAAATGATGGGGACCTACATGTACCAGATACAACATCTAGATGTCGCCAAACTTCAACCATTCGCGTCAATGAGAGCGCCCTCGACGGAGCAGGCTGCAGTGACCGCATATCTGCATGAGAATTCAGCATCGCCATCTTATTGAATGAGCGATTGCTTTACCTAGACCTCATTTTCCACCCAAGTCATCGATAATCTTTAATAGCTGTGATAATGACCAGTCTACGAAGAGGATGAGCGAGGACGGCGATGAGGTGGGAGAGCATACGTGGAAAGCCTATCAACGATCCCCTCTGTCTTATATAGCTAAATGTATCGCGTGCTTACTTCACATCAAAGTGCACATTCTATTGGAACATCAGCCGCACTTCCTTCCCACGATCGCGAGCTCTGCATTCGAAGATCCAGTTCACCTGGTTTCTCGTTCTCGCTACATCTATATACATGAAAGCCAGATCGTCCTGGATCTGGGCTCACCTCAATTTTCACTAATGTGGAGCCATGCCTTTGGAGCACCATACGCAGCTACTCGTTCCTGGGCCCCTGAGCCTGATTGCGTCCACCTTTGGTAATGCGGCTATGGTAACAGCAGTCATGGTCTCCCACATACTCGCTCGCCAGAAACAACGTCGCAATTGTTTGACCTCGACAAGGACGTAGCAAGGTACAGAGGCCTTGTGCTCGTTTCGCTGATGAGAATATGCCATCAGCTGCCACGTCATGGGGGAAGAGTATCCGTCCGCAAGCGTTCACTCAGCTCGTCGATTGACCATTGTGGACCGAGATGCGTACCGTGAGCACAGAGCAGCACATGTAGCCTTACCCTGGCAATAGATTCAAGGAATGCTGCTGCTAGGTTACGGTGAGCTATTATGCGCCTCCTCCCCAAACTCCGGTCAATACGATCGCTTTGCACATTCCGTCTAGACCTAGCCTACCTCCGCATCTTCAGGTGTCTTTGTGCCAAACGGTACTCACCTAGGGCCTCTGAACCGGATTCAGCGATCAATACCGTTCAGCTATATGTGTCGACTGTGCTTTTGGTGCAGAGTGTGATCGCGGCAGCAGGTCCCAAGAGGATGCATCACCCATGTTTCCGGTACGCACCTCCATCACGCGTCTCTTGTCACCACCTGCCCATCCCAGGCTCTTGGCAGCGGAGTCGTGAGGTGATTTGCGCGCTGCGCTCACTGCAAGATGAATACGCGCGGATTTGCAAATCTCCGCCCTTGTGGCACCGGCGCAGAACGAATAAGGATAGTTCTCAAGTGCGTAGTCAACTTGTGACAATCGCGAAGCTCGCAGGCTGATCAACCATGCTCGCGAGAAGAGTTTCTCGGCGATCAAATCGGTGGCCTTGGCCAGCGAGCCTTTTATTCACTTTGTGCAAAAGCAGCATTGCTGCAGTAGACCGTCGCGGCCAGGGCCTTCTTTCTGAGACATAGAAGGGGGCCGCGTTCAACCGCCGGAGTAATTCGCCCCCTCCTCAACTCAATAGAGATCTCCTACTCCTCTCTTCAGCGCGAATTTCACGCACAGACGCCATGGATTCCTTTCGAGAGGCTCCTTCACTCCTCTTGCGTCCCTTCCTGATTCAGTTGTCACCATGTCATGTCGAGCCTCGGTCGCGTTGACCAAACGGTGACTTCGGTCAAGAGAAACCGGCGGGAGATGGTATGAATTGACATAGACGTATGTAAATACGTTGTTGTCTTGCATTCCTGTCTCCTTACCACCTCGCCCAATCTAGCTCGCTGGATGCTGAGGCGACTGCAGGGAAGAGGAGAGCGAGCCTTCGAAATGGTTCGGCAAAATGCCTGTTTGGGCACTCACCAAAACGTCGTGGGCGCCGAGCTCCATGGTTGTTTGATTGAAGCATTTGTCGCGACGAGCGTTCAAGGTCCTCTTCCGCTCTCCTCTTCTACACGAGGACTGCACGCCTCTACAGCATCTCTGAAACGCGCGACGAAGAAATCGCGGGTTGCTGAAACCTCCGACCCTGGACGCGCCTTATAGCGCATCGTCGCTTTCGAAATCCGAGATGGCGACCCCCGAGCTAGTGACATCGTCTTTGAGTTATGACAGACAGCTAGCCCAGGAGCTCCTGATCCCATGCATCACACGACTGCGGCTGCTAGGTATCATCAAGGACTTGGTGAAATGAGGTCCAGGTAAGCGATCATCGACTTCTGCGGATTGGCCATCCTGAATCCTCATGCTGAGATGCAGTGGGGAGGTCGCCTTCGAAAGGTCGCTGCTTCAGCAACGCCTACATGCTTCACTCGGAGCACACCCTGTCCACGTCAGTGGCAACCGTATGTTCACAAGGCTACACCCAGAGTACCAGCCACACGCACTCTGTCTCCCGACCCGCTTTCGGCGTCCTTCCACTTCCTTCCATTACCTACCAACTTTCTATCTCGGTGACTTTGCGCCATTTAAACATCTCGACTTCTGCTCACCAATGCTTCCAACGCCTTGAACGCACCCTCTCTCACACCTCCGCGCTCACCAACAACATATATCTTATTCACAAAGAGGCTATTGTGCTATTGCTATTTGCACATATTATAGTAGACATATCATTGCTGTGACTTCCTTGAACCTCAACCTCAACATTTGTAAGATAGCTTCCAGTGTCAGTTTCCTACTATCCTTATACACTAGCCCTAAAGATACTATCAGATACGGGGTTTTGCAAACTCAAGCATTTTCCCCTTCACTTTGCTTGAACCATCACAAGGATCATTATTATTTTACTCAGGCATTGTTGTAAATACATTGAAGAGTACCCAGAACGAAGCTGGGGCCCATACACGAAGGACATCCAGTGGTAGAGAGATGCCGCGTTTGAGGCTTCCCATCACTGTAGTTCTGCAAATTCTATCACACCTGGGTCACAGCGGCAAATTTGAACACCGCTCGGCAGATGTTGCAGGACTGCAAAGTGCGCTGCCGCATCGTGCCATGATCGAGCACGGAGTGTGAACACATCACGCTAACAGTGGCGAGTGTCACGCTTGCTCAACCAAAACAACCATCGCTCACCACTCATGTCTTGCTGGGTGAATCGGGCTGGTGTACCAGAACACACAAAGCTGTAATATAACGGATCGGATGTCTTACTGTTAAGAAACACAATGAGTAGCTCTGGATCTCGCCCATCACATGTTTGCAGAACACCTTAAGAACAGTCTGCAGGCTGTCATTTCACTTCACCTTCATTTCCTCTCAATCGCTCTTGCACATAGCGTATACTAAGTACCTACTAGCATCTACAATCATCAAAATTAGAATTTTCATGGTGCGCAGTGGAGATCACGCAGTTCTGCAAAATTGATGGCTTTTGCAAAACCCCGTATCTGATAGTAACCCGGGAATCATGAGAAAGCTCGGTTAGAGTCGAGATTGTATAGTCGACGAAAGTTATCAAATTCACATATTCTGCTGTAACCAAACCAGGGCGTCAATCATTGCAGACTCATAGCGATGTCGTAAAGAGCGTCCTGAAGCAGCCTGAAGCAGTGGAAGGCCGGATGGCCAGCCACGTAGTCGAAGGCTAGACTGATCTAACTCGTCATTGATAAGCGCACTACTGTCCTTTACGGCACAATCAATATCGATAGACCTCCCCTCGCAGATTATACACAGATGGTACTTCACGAAGCCTGACGAAATAAAACGCGATTACAAGCTTTACCGGACGCACAAGCACGAGCACCACCTTGAAATATGCATGACAAAGGAATATACTCGGCCAGCTCGCACTAGTTTGTTGTAGCCTTCTCGGCTTCCGAGGCAAGAACCTGTCGCACGACGGAAAGATGATCGCGGTGATCCGGCAACAAGTTCACTTCTCCCGTACTGATGAAGGTCATGACTTGCTCCAAGTATCGCAACGCCTCGCGCGCATCAACTAAGGGCTCCAAGACCCTTCCTTCTGGACGGCCGGCGAGGACGTCAGGAATTGGCGAGGACTCGGTCCGACGCCTCTCAAACCTCGCATGTGACTCTGGAGCCGACGCGCTGAATAACTGCTCGAGAGACGAGTATGGATTACGGGCTTCCTGAGATGCAGGATGCAGATCCTCAAAATGAGACAAGGATGATGATTGAACGAGCGAAGCAGCCATCGCAAGTGCTTGCAGACCGGACGCAGGGTGTATCGCAGGTCCTGTCTGCGTAGGAGAAGGAAACCTCGAGATCGCTGAGTCGGGTGCCCGCTGGTCGACCGAAGAGTGGGAGGCTGCAATCTTGGAACCGTTTGTAGGTAAGGGAGAAGATGTGGCATGATCGGCTGGTGACAGTGCTCGAGGCGTCGTGACTGCAAATGCGTTGATATCAAGAACGGGGTGCGCCGCCACAGCCGGAGACTCAGCCAGGGGTACTGGAGTTGGAGTCCGAGAGATGGCAGTTGCGAGAACGGCGAGATCTACGATAGAGTGTACGATCCGCCCGGGGCTGCGTTCTGTCACAGTGGAGGGTTCCGGCTCAGGTGTCGGGGTGCGCGGGATCATGGCTGATAGCTCCGCCAGGTCAACGATACGAAGACCCGCCGCTTCAGGGAAAAGGCTGGAGATATCTGGTGGTGTGTAGGTTGCATCTTGAAAAATTGCCGAACTCTCCTCTCGAAAAACATCCAGACTCTCCTCTCGAAGAACGTCCAGACTCTCCGGTAACTTGTCACCTATATCTGCGAAAATATTGGAGACAGCTTGCGGATCTGTACTTGCAAAACCAAAGGCGGCCGACCATTCGTACATCTCAGCATTGGCAAAAATGATTCCCTTGGCAATGCCCTGGTGACGCTTGAAGTTCCTGAGCCAGGTTTTGCTCGCCTTGAAGACACCTTTGACTGTACTGTCAGACCTCTCACGAATTCCTTTGGCCTCAGTCATAATGTCCTTGTTCTTAATGAGCTTCTTCTCGCGAAAACGTCCGTTCGCCCATCGCCTTAAATTGCTCTCTAGATCGCCGAAGCGGCGAAAACTGCGTATGGTGTCATAATAATGTACCACGGATCATGTGAAGGTCATACCACAATCTATGATACTTGTCGGATACAACAGTTCCCGGACTCAACCACCTATCCTTGTCCTTCAGCGCACGGCCTACAGTGGTTCTTCCCACCATGAATAGGCGAGCAATTGCTTCGTGCGTCGCATTTGGATGGTCTTGTTTGTAAATGCAAATTTCCCTGCGCATGCGTGTGGAGACACGGGCATGCTTGCGCTCCCATGCTGGCTTTGAGGAAGGGTGTGCGGAAGACGTCTTACGTGAAGGAGGCTGCCCAAAGCGTAGCCTCAGCATCTTGAAGGGTCGTTCTTTGTACATCTCGAGCGGATCGCCGAACATATGTGGGCTTGGGATTATTTCATGCTAATTGTGTATATCAGCACGTAGTATCTCCCTCAGAAACACAAGAGTTGAGCCACCTCCTCCATAGTGCTGTTGAATAGCTCGCCTGATGAGATCGATGCAGGTGGACAATTAACGTGCGATCGCGCTCAGATAAATAACATACACGTACTCAAAACAATGCTTGGTTATATGCTGAGTTACACCATATGATGATGTTTCGCGATAGAGTGTCCAAGCGAGAAGCATTCACACCGCCAATTAGCAGTTTGCCGCCCTTTGTGATACCCATATCAAATGAGCAATAACATGAACCAGTACGAGCAGTACGAGTTATAACTCACCAACGTTCACGAGCAGTGCAGAACAAAGAGGAGTGAAGGTCTTGTTCTGTCAGTAACCTGAGGAGGAGGGAGGTAAGGAAAGCAGTTCTGTCCATGGGGAATGATTACTTTGTGAAGGCTACTGCGCGGCTCGCTACGTGCAACGCGTCACGTGACGGTCTCCTCTGCGGAGGGAAACACCGAGAACCATGCCAGTGACTGCTCGTACCGCGACTGCGATACACAATGTTATGCATGTGTACCAGCACGTATCTTCGATATAGTTTCTGTAATATCATATATGGGCACAGTACAACTGACCGTGATACAGTGACAGCAGCCGCGGCATTCAGGGAGCAGCCTCAGTACATGATGCCGCGATACGGTACTTTGGGGCGAGTCGCGCAAGAAAGCTGAGACATTTCTACATGGGGTATAGCAGAAAATATCAACCTTGTAAAAGAGTCACGAGGATTCGACAGCACACTGCTCCATATTTGTTTTGTCTCCATTTATTATCCGCTAGGGCCGAGCCCTGTGTGATGGTACGTACGAGTATGTAAGGTATCAAAAGAGCAAATACGATTTGTAGGTATTGCCATTACGTGCTCGCGTCATGAGCGCAGAACACCGAGGGACGCTTTGTGGGAGGGTCAGTATAATACGAGAGAGAAAGTGCGCAAAGAGTTTCATGGAAAGGGACGTAGAAATGTATCGTAACGTTGTGCGTGCGGCGGACTCGCAGTCACCATTCCTGACCCGATAGGGCTAGAGACGCGGTTCTAAACCCACCGCTAGAGAGCATGGCTCTCCTACAGACAGTGTCACAGCAGGTGGGAATACGGCCAGTGGTCCTCCACTGGCCGTCAAAACTCCCCGCATCTCTGGAATGGTGCCTGCGCACACGCACAACGGGATACATGATCGAGAAGAAGATTTCCGCAGAACAATGTCAAGAGAGCCGAGAGGAAAATGTGCAGTCATTGTCATTGCACCGTCTCGGAAGTGCCTCGGTTCTCGTAATCAGCCAGTTTGGAAGGTTCAAGTCTGCCAAGTTTCAAAAGGTTTGGCGGTATCAATAAACCTAAATAGGGGTTTCAGCGTGTCGAGTTGTGGGAATCGCGTGCGTCGCAACACTTATCTCAAGGTTTACAGCCCCGCTCGATGTTAGGCAGTCTAGGAGTAAGTGATATCCGGTTTCAGACTAAGAGCTGCAGGCTGGCACTCACTACTGTCTGGTCGGCGCTGGTAGCGGACCTGTGCGCTGAAGGATACATGTCCTGATCGACGAGATGCTTGTGTCGCGCCAAGGCCTATTGGCCTGCTGAGAGCCATGAAGGTCATCTTGAGGCCGATGAAATGCAATCCCGCATGCGTGGTGACTTCTGCTAAGAAACTGAAGCAGCATTGTGAAGGGAAGCAAGCCGCGTTTAGCTTACCTGGATGTCTGAGAGCGGTAGCTCCTGGAAGACTGAGAGCGGCAGCTCTTCTAAATGGCTAAAGAGATTCTACATCATGCGCCTGGCATTGTTAGTCCTAATTCGCGCTCTATGAGGGAACCTGGTAGAGAAAACGCGGACGCCAACGGTTTGGGCCCAACTGGTCCAACCTCACCAGATACAAATCCTTTGTCACTAGGGCGTCCAAGCCGGTGAACGGTATAGAATCGTTGAACGGCATAGGGTCGTCCAACGGCATAGAGCCGATGAGTGGCTCTGTGGCCGGGTTTGTGACCATGACCGTGTAGACGCCTCGACATTGCTGCAGAATAGATCAGAATGGAGGTCATTTCGAAGGCATGCAAACACTCACTTGGACAGCCTTGTCGACTATCCTCCTTACCTTAAGGGCCAGTTCCGCCCTCGAAAAGCTCTCGCCGGTAAGCTTGACCGTCTCGACAACCTTGCAGTGGTCGGGATACCCGGCGAACTAGATAGTGCACGATGGTGAGGAGGTAGCAAGCCGGTGCAACAATGTATAGGTATACGTTGATATCAACGATGATGGCCTCTCCCCAGTTTCTCCTGACGGGGTTCATTGCCTGGTCGAGCTTGCCGGCTACTATTGCTGCATCCAGGTTGTCGAGTCTCACACCAATCGGCCTGTTGCTCTTCGATGTCTTGTCCATCTCTGGAACGCTTCGGAAATAAATGGAGTTTTCGGGTACGAAACCCGCTGCAATCTTAAAATCATATTGTCTCGCCTCCGCGGCTAACTTGCCGTCACAGTACAATGCCATGACAAAAATTTTACCAAAGGAAGAACAGAGACGGTTGTACACAATTGTCCGAACGCGTGCGCGAAGAAGGTACGGAGGGCGTTCGAATGGGTCCTCGAGTGCACGTTGGGAAGAATCCTCGAGGGCGCGTTCGAAGCGATTCGTAGGTGCGCGTTCGAAGAGGCGTGTAAATGCGCGTTCGGAGAGGTGCGCAAGTGCGCGTTCGAAGGGGTGCGCAAGTGCGCGTTCGAAGGGGTGCTTAAGGACGCGTTCGAAGGGGTGCTCGAGGGCGCGTTCTGAGGGGTGCTCGAGGGCGCGTTCTGAGGGGTGCTCGAGGGCGCGTTCGAAAGTGTGCTCAAGTGCGCGTTCAAGGAAATCCTCAAGTAAGTGTTCGAAAGGTCCTAATTTGCGAGTCTAAGATGGTTTAGACCAACGTCTTGGCGGTAGAAGAGGAGGAGGGATTTGTGGCGAAGCGTCGTTAAATAAGTGCGTGTTGTGGCCGTCACGCTTTCCTCGTCACCCATCACCGTCACCCTTCACGTGTCACATGTCACCCGTCACCTAGCCCATGTTGAAGACGACGAGCGATCCTGATTGGCTGCAGCAAAATATGCATAGAGTGAAGCTGGTGAGACAGCAAATTGAAAGGGAAAAAAGCAGATTGAAAAGCAGAGATACGACGGGGATAAAAAAGACATTAGGGCACAAACACAGAGTACCCAGCATATCGTTGGTGCCATTGGCCTCACTATGCAGGAAAGGTCGACGCAAGCCGTATTTTCTGCCAGCATCGTCATAAATTCCACACATCGATGCAGAGAAGGTCACCGAGATTATAGGGACAAGCTAAGGAGTGGGTCAACTGCGAAGACGGCGACGTGGGGGGTTGGGAGAGCTCGTTGATAATCGGCTCCTTCTGATATAGTAGCGCTTAGTGAACATGGTCATGTGGCCCCACGGCTGTTTGGCAGTTGCGTGATACTATTGATGTGAACATTCGATTGGAACGCTTCATTTTCTTGTTCCCTTCCCACGCTCTGAAGCTTTGCATTCGTCAGACAGGCCACACAGGACTTGTTACAATCCCGGGCCTGAGTATGTTATTCTGCAGCACGCAGCAAGTATAGAAGAGGGGCCAAATATCAAAGCTCCATCGCCAGCAGCTACTCGTTTTTCAGCTCTAGTTCCTGATTCAATCGACCTCTGACTGTTGTCCGATAAAGACCGCTACGGCTAAGCCGCAGCCGGGGCCCAACCTCAATCATTGTCGCGATCACCGTCGAACTTGGCACTGCGGCGTTCTGCGTCTCCCTCAGCAAGACCCAACCACTCAAGACGACGGCCCATCTATAGGATACCCCAGCACAGACGGATCGCAGCGATCAGCGACCAGGCTCTACAACTCCTCGCATCAGATCATGAAGTCAATCCACTATCGCTGGTCAGTCCGGCAGGATCCTTGTCCTAATACTATGTCATGAATCAAAGTCGAGGACAAAGGCACGAATCGCATTCAACCAGATCTACAAGCGCTGCGACCGGCGGATGCAGCGAATAATGCGAGTTCCTCATTTTCCATTTTGATTGTTGGCGCTGGTACCGTTGAGTCGAATCATATATTGTACTTCCCTCCCAAGCCCTTAACAAGGCGGTGATCGGCACATCCCGCGTCGATGATCTATGAGGAGGCGTGTTATTCCACGTTAGACGACATTGCCGGCCAATCGTGAGCCGTTTCCTTCACATCTGTGCGGTGTATGTATACTGGACTCACCTGTGCTAATCCCCCGACTGCAGGATGGGTTGACTAGGCTTTCGCACCAGTTGTGGCATGGTCTGCGGCGTAGGTGCTGTGCAATGACTTGACGTCACGCTACGAAGTGTACTCGCAGGTATTATCCGGCATAGGGCGAAGCCCTCAAGCGGATATAAAACTGGATTTGAAAAAATTAAATAAAAAAAGACTTGACGTCGTCGACAGTCAGGTTGCCGGCCCGCTCGGACGCTCATTCACTGTCTCTAGGCGACCCCGCTTTGATTAGCAATGAATGTTGCTATCGGCGCGCAACCTGACAAGGGATATGACAGTGTATGGCCAACCCGATTGAAATGGGTGTCTGAACGAACTTGAGTGATAGGATTGTAGCGTGGCACGATCAAAGGGGATGAAGAGGGCAATGTAGTGGCAGCTAGGTGTGTTTGTTATGCGGCGATCCCGCTTACAACGGAGTCCTTATATCCTCTGCTGTTATGTTATGGCATGCCCATGTTGTGCGACCACCTTTCCGTCGTGCGACGTGCTCTTGTCTCGGAAGTCGAGAAGGCTGCAACTGGACAGGCGTGATCCGATCGAGTACCTGTGGTCTCCCATCCGTCTGGTGGCATCATCCAAGGTGGTTATTTTGCTTGGGCTCCGGTCTATGCCCCGATGCCGTGAAGCGTCTCTGCAACACGGGAACCTCAGGAGCCGCTGTTTAGTGGTCGCTCGAGGTATCGCTCTGACTTCCTTCGCGGCGGGCATTTTTCGTTCTTCAACTCCACTTCTAAGGCCAGGTTCTCCCCCACTGGTCTCCATCCTGCCACCGTAGCTAGGATGACATGGTGAAGAGCTTTTGCTGTACTTCACCACACCTGATTCAATGCTGTATTCTTCGTCTTGTACTCCGTAACATGAAAGAGCACGATTTGATTTCCAGCCCCCGCGTGCTACGAGTACCGTTACGACAGTCATTGACTGAACTCACTTACTCACAGTTCTTCAGCCTTGCTTCATTCTCACGCGGCTCTGAACGGAATGGTTGATCCTACAAACAATGACGTCGGTGCGTCTGCCTTACGACGTCACTGCGCCCGCTTCGGCAGGATAGTGTTAAGGTATGTTGAAACTACTGTGTACGGCAGCGAGCTGAACGCCGGACGGTGCTGGCGCCTGTCAGTAAATTTGGTGAGTGATGTGTGCCATTAAGCTTTTTCTGACTACACACGTGGGGAAGCAGGAGAGTGAGAATCTTAGGCAGTGATCAAGCCCACTTGTCGCTACCACGTACTGTCTCGACACTCGACGTCATTGACATGACGACTCAAGTAAGATCTCAGTGCCTCTCACTACTTTTGGAACCACATACGAACTGGTTGTGCAAAATGCGTTGCCCAGATCACGGTCGACACCTGCTCTCCAAGGCCTCTTGATCGCCGTGCCTTCGATTACCTATGAGAGGACATTATCTTCCTGGAAACCCTGGTCTCAGCTATTTGAGAGGGATTACGGTATGTCACATTTGTTCATGACTGGCTGGACAGCGCTTAGAGAGGTGAAGACGTGACCAGGTCACGGCTACAGTCACCGCGACCCGCATCTGGGCGCTTCAGAACGGCGGCGATGTTGAATTCCCTGATATTTACGTGCTTACATTCAGTCGTTAGCTCCATAGTGATATCTTCCTGACACTGACTACAGAATACGTCCTCGACACAGGGTGCAACTGCCGCTGCGAATCTCGAGCAGATGAACAGTTCATACAAGTTCATACGTCTCCTGTGACATGGTACGTTCGTACGCCACCTGCGCATCCCAGGCTCGCGGAACCGGCTTTTTGATGCTTGTATTCTTAGCGCTGCGGTAAATCCAGGACAAATATGCGCGAATTTGCATACCGCCGTTCTTGTGGCATCGGAGCAGGACAAACGAGAAGCTCGCCGGCTGATTGATCATGCTCGCAAAAGGAGAGACGCGTGTGCCCCAGCCACAGGTGGCTCTTTCAGCGCGCGCCCCTGATCAAATCGGTGGCTTTGGCCCGCGACCCTTTTGTTCGCTTTGTCGCAAAATGGGAACAAGGTGACGTTGTTTCGGTGGACCGTCGTGGCCGGTGCTTCCTCACATATAAAAGGCGACTGCATCAGACGACTGAAATCATCGACCACCTTCCTCCTGCCCCAGTAGCTGTTCACCGCTCCTCTCTCCAACTCGAGATTCTACGCATCGACAGCATGTGCTGGTTTCGAGACGTTCCCTCGCACCTCCCCTTCCTGATTCAATCGTCAACTGTTGAGTATGCATGCACGTTGTTACACCGGCTTGCTACCTCCTCACCATCGTGCACTATCTAGTTCGCCGGGTATCCCGACAGCTGCAAGGTTGTCGAGACAATCAAGTTTGCCGGCGAGATCGTGTCAAGGGCGGACTTGGCCCTCAAGGTAAGGAAGTCAGTCGACAAGGCTGTCAGAGTGAGTGTTTGCATGCCTTCGGAATGACCACCATTCTGACCTATTCTGCAGCTATGTCGTGGGGTCTACCCGGTGATGGTCACAAACCCGGCCACGGAGCCACTCACCAACTCCAGGCCGATGGACGACGCTGAACCGTTCAACGGTTCCATACCGTTCACTGGCTTGGACGCCCTACTCGTAGGTGATTTGTATCTGGTGAGGTTGGACCAGGTGGGCCCAAACCGTTGGCAGTCGGCTGTCGAGTAAGTGATTCTACACTCTGCGAACAATTCTATCCTGAATGATTATGCAGAAATGCGCTATCGCCTTTGCTATCATGGCCTCGGTGAATAATTGCACGCAAGGCATTGTGTTCCAGGAGAACACAGACAGCATAATGAGGCAACCTCGGTTCAACCTCAAGCCCCCATCGTCTTTGCGTGCGGCAAGAATAAGACCCCTGTCCAGCTTTTCGGAACGAGAACGCATGAAGTCGGCAACCTGATTCGTGCGACAGAACCGCTCCGCCGCAACAGGGATGGTCCCAGTATACGCAGCCGTTAGCCATGGAGCCAGACAAAAATCTCCCATCGTCGTCTCCACACCACTGCAGACGCCTGCCGCGAGCTCACCTTGCCCTGAAGTGTAATCTGGAATGGGAGGCCTATCGTGATTTGTTTTGCTGTAAAGGAGCTCATGGCAGCTGTGGGTCAGTGAGAGGGAACGCGGACACCGCGAGCGCGCGCAGACATTTTCCTGCTCTCAAGCAATATAAAGTGCATGTAGATAGCCTGTATGCACAAAAAGAGCGTCCTAGAGGGCTTGATAATCGTGATGGTCCATCCTGAGCGGTCTGGCGTGAGGGCTGAATCTCGAATCTCCGTATCGGCTGGACGCTTACTCGACTCTGGTTGAGCCGTCTCTATGATCCTTTTGTTTAACGGCAGATGTGAGGCAGACCATCGAGCAGAACTTACAGCTGAGTGAGCGACGACATTTCGACCACCACGTGACCCCGCCAAGCCGTGTGAAGTCGGAGGTCCTCTTCAAGTGAAAGCAAATGGTCAAACAAGGTCATAACTGTCGCTGTCCACACGTCTCCCCATTCTTCCATCCGCGTTGCGAATGGACTGGGATCCTAGCCTCTTCTCATGCCAACATAAGGAGTCCGGAAATCTGACGACGCCGGTGGATGCTTTATCTCAAGAAGACGGTTGGAGGCTTGTTACAAGACATTACAAACAGGTGAGTTCGTCGTAAATTCTTGTGCTGTCCTCTCTAGCGAGTCGTATCAGCCCCCTCCGACACATCAACATCCTCCAGCAGGGCATCCATCTCGTCATCGTATAGAAATTGACGCAAAATGCCCAGGATCTCCTCGTTCAAGCCCGGATGTCCCGCTCGGCTGCCGCTCGCCACCCTTCCATTACCAGGATTCTCTCTCGCTTCAGCCTGCCTAGCGCAGCGCTTCAAGTAGTCCTCGCATGCGTTCTGACCATTGCGATGGCGTTTCAGTGCATCTGTCCGAGGGAAGCGCATTCCGCATAAATCGCAGACGTGCTTCCTGACCTTGAAGCATTGCAGCAGGTGACGGCGGAAATCCGTGCGGGTGTTGAACGTCCATTCGCAGGTCCGAAGAGGGCATGCATATGCTTTCTTGTTTTTGGGTGGCTCCCTTTTCATTTTGCGCCTGTCTCCGTCGGCATCGGAGTTGACATCATGATCGGTGTCTCCGTCATCGTCATCGCCCTTGCTGTAGCCCAACCTTTGCTTCTTAGCTATACGGCGGGGCTGCGCCCGTATGCTTTCTTTGTGGACTGAGGGTCCAGGCTCATCGACATTGGTGCTGGCAATAGCGCATTCCTTGCGCTTTTCTGCTGCGGTGAATTGTGGAGGGGGAGGCAGCCGGGCCTGAGTAGTTCGATGCGATGAGCTCTGCGGGCTTCGTTCCAGGACGTTGCTCATTTTGGCCGTGTGCAACGTCGACGGCTCGCACTCGTCGCTTTGTGTATTCGGTCTCGCACGGGCAGCTCCAGTCACTGTCGCCGATTGGATCCTCCGGTGAACTGATTCATCGATCGAGTCTTCGTCACTTCGATTGACATTGCTGTATAGCTCAGCATTCTCGGCAGATGCATCATCGTGTGCTACTTCAAGGTCGTCCTTGCCCTGTGTGTGCAGGGAAGGGGATCCTGCGCAGAACACGCTAGACATCTTCGAGTTCAAACCAGATGATGTGGCGAAGGCATTGCTTGTTGGCAAGGTGCGGATTTGGGTGGAGCGAGCGATAAGCGAGGGGATACTGGCGGCGGGGTTTGCGCTGGACTGTGGGACACGGGGTAGCCACTTGGAGCCATTCCAGTATGGGAGAGATGGGTCCATACGCGTTTTTACAGGGGTGATTGGCAGGGCTTGCTCCGTTGTTGAACGCGATGGCTGCGTTGAAAAGCGAGTCAGTCACGGTGCTAAGAGAGGTGATCGGCAATACATACTCGATCTCCGTCTGATAGACGTGCCTGAAGATCCCTACCAGACAGTCCCTCGTACCGCAAATTCTTGGGAATCAAGGATTGACCGTGGCCTGTGGCGCCGTACGACCGCTCGTGGTGCGACTGGATACCAGTGTGTGGCGCCACTGACAAGTGTTTGCAAGTGCATAGCCCAATGAAATGGCGGAGCTGATGTTCCACGAAATGGTAGTCCTCAACGATGGTGTCTGTCTGGTTGGACCATACTACGAGCACCTGATCTTCGCGCTGAGCTGCAGCATCAGCGCGCTGGATACACTGAAATCGTGGGAACTACCTACCACGAGTGCACCATCGTACATAATGGCCTCTTCTAGGAACTCGAATGAGGTCACAATGGGGATATCAACATCGCCCATATCAATTCTTGTAGCCAAAGGGCTGGGCGGATGGTGAGGTCTAGGAGATGTTTTCCGTCAAAATGCTTACTAGTAATGCAATATATCGAGTATGGCCTGCGTCCTGGCCTTGACAGCGACCTTGTAAGCCATATTGGAGACCGCGTCTTTGAAAGGCAGACCGGAGTTGTGGGATGTGAGGACGCGCTGGTTGGTGCGTAGGACCACAGCTGCATGGTGTTGATCGGAAGAGATGTCTACGAGACACTCCTCGAGGGTCTGTAGTGTGATAGACTGGGGTAAATCCATGGCGGCCGGTGAATGGTGAAGCTAGGGGTCAAAGCACGGTTGTGGCTGAAATGTGGCTTTGCTTCGTCGACTTTAAAGATCCTCTCCGCTTTCGAAGTCCGCATGCTAATGGATTGTTGTCAGGGATTGGACTAAGAACCTAGCCCGGTAAGGTAAGCTTCCACTGCTTTGCATGGTTCTTTATAGAGAAGCAGCATGCCGACAAGTAAATATGTTCCTTGATCTCAGATTGTGTGGAGTGCTATGTAGAGTACTGATAGCAGAAGCGACGAAAAGTTCCACATGTGAACCTTGAATGGCCGTCGTGCTATAGAGAGAAGGCCGTTAAAGCGCATAGAGAGGAACACCTAGAGAAATGTATCGGTCAGGTATGTCTCCATTCCTCCGCGATACACTCAAAGCCGTATATATTTACTCCATACGGCTCAACGAAAGTCCAATCCTCGACACTATTTTGCACCCCCGATTTGCAACTCGCAGGCATTGGACAAATCTAAGGCGCACTAGTACAGGTCATAATCTCCCTCTTGTCCTCCTCCTACACTGCGTGTATGCCAGCAAGCGGCCGTGGCGCGCTCGGGCCCATTCACAATGTGCGGCGATCATAGACCCTTATGTTTATAAGCGGAAATCCGCCTGTCAGCTGTTGATGGTCCAGTGAGGCGACAACAAGGGACGAAGGTTATGGCGAGCGCCTGCTGCCTCTCCGGGACCGTCACGGCAAGCATTTCGGCCGCCTTTAGCCACTGATGGGTCTTTCACAGGACACCACCTGATCAGATCACTCGCTTTGGCCCGATCGCCTCTTGTTCTCCTTGTGCAAACGTGAGGACAAGGCGACGCTTCTGCCGTGGACCGTGGTGGCCACAGCTTGCTGAGCTATAAAACGCAGCTGCGTTGGATGACAAGAACCATCCGCCTCTTTTCCCTGTGGCTGTATATCATTTTTCCACTCCTCTTCAACTCACAACTTGACGCAACGATACCATGGGGTTCTTTCGACTTCGAGGCGCTCGCTCGCTCTCCCTTCCTGATCCAATCGTCATACACCGGCGGCCAAAGACACCCCCGAGAAACCTGGTGCGTATGTCATGCCAACGACCGAGAGTCGAAGACATTCTAGTCTTCGCTCCGACAGGCACCCTTAGAGGAAAGAGTGTGCAGCTACTAACGGCTTTCCAAAAAGGGCTTGTCGAAGTTGTCGTATGCGACGCGACAAAACCTGTGACTCGGGCTTGGAGTGGCACCTTTATTAAGATGCATGTATGTAATCAACATTATCACGCTGTTCATACCCATGCTCATCCTTGGTTCTGCAGTGTGCCATGACGTATATGCTGCTAGCTTGCGCTTATGGCGACGGGGACCACGGTGGACTGGGATATGCCCCGTGAATAGCCGGGCGTACAGGCCTCTGTCATTACCATGCAGGGGCTGACGCTAAAGGAGATGGGTGCATGGGTGTACACCACGTATTGCCACGCGCCACATAGGTCCGGTTCGCTTGAGCAACGTCTCACTCCGTCGTGACGTCCTCTATGCAGCGACCCCCCATGGACCAAGCCGCACCTGGTGCACAGCCAGCTCGCAGGATGCTCTTAGCGCCCGAGTACACACTCAGATGCCTCCGCCTCAAGACACTCACCTTCAGCTACGACCCCTTCCTCACTGCAATCCTCTCTGAGTTCATCTACGTCTTTCTGCAGGTAGCGACTATCTCTCGCTCACTGCGCGTGTGGATGTGGTCGAGCTGTTGTCGTTCGCGCGCACCCTCCATGCACCCTCCACAACAGACCGAGAAGGCCGGGCCGCTCTCTCCTATGCACACGCGCTCGCGACTACGGAAGATTAGGTCATGGGTCATGCATGGGAGGAGCAAGTGCACCATCTGTGGAGCAGCCGTACCCTCGACGAAAAGACACGCAAATGTCGTAGTGGGCTATGGCGCCACACGAAGGCACATACGGCCAACACACGGAAACCGGAGTTCTCTTCTCGCGCACTGGCGCGTAATTTATCCAACTCTGCTTTCTCTGTGCATGCGACCCGCATTCTCTCTCTTCACGCATCCTGCTGGCCCTCTCCACACGGGCCTGGTACACGCGCATCCATTGCGCACGGGAGAAGAACAGCGCACCCTCTGCGGGGAAGCATAGGCATTCAAGTGTCGTAGTGAGCTACGGGCCACAATACTGGGTGCTTCGACATTGTGGCGCTCAGCGAAGCCATTCCGGGGCGCATGGTACGAACCGAAACGCGTCTGTTTCAATGATATACGCTCGGGTCCCACGAGACGTGGCATCACCATGCAAGACTGCCTCGACACTGCGGTCTCCCCAACGGTGCCACAGCGCATCGGACCGACTCGCTGGCGCGTTCATCACAGCCCACACTCGAACCCACCCTACCGAGTTCACTATCCCCGCGAACGATGCGCCACATAGGACACTCCGTGATCACAAACAGCGATATCTCATAGCTCTTCCCTCAGCGACTTGCTCCACGATGCTAGCACTACCTAAACAACACACTGCGTCGGTCCTTCATAGCACCATCCACTGTCTTCCTATCACACTCAGTGCCACGCGACACATATGCGCGCCTCTCGCCTCTGGTTCGCCATTCGCTCTTCGACCCGCAGCGGCAAGCACGCCCTTCGTAGTCCGTGACCATGTTGTCTACGCTCGCACTGCTGTGTGTAGCGCAATCTCTACACACCCCTACGGACCTGCCTGCGCGACTAGAGAGGAACTGGGCGGCCAGTACCCCTTGCAGTTACACCACACAGACATTCTACAATCTTCTGTCCAGAGCGCGACACGCTACGACGCTGCACAGGACACCCCATCACTGCAACCAGCGATATCTCATAGCTCTTCCCTCACCGACATGCTCCACAATGCTACCACTACCTAAACAACACAATCTCCCCTGTATTCACATTAGCCCCTGGCCTGCGCAGCATATTGTTGTCATGTAGTGTACCAGTGTGCTCGCAATACCATGTCTGCAAGCGATTATCTGTCCGTCGTGAGCCGCGCTGCAAGTGTGGCGCATGTCGCTGTGGGAGAGCAAGGCTGTCAATATCTGAGAGAAAGGGATGCGCCTGCCTGCGGGACACTCTACGGCACTATGATATAAGAATCAAGACAGCTTGTGGGCGCATGTCGTCGGGGCCAGTGGATATCAGTCATCTCGTAAGGGCTTTTCGAGATATGCCACACCATGTCTTATCGAGCACATCGTGCTGCCACGAGAGAGCGACACAGCACATTGTATCGGCAAGGAAAGCATGATGCTCGGTGTATGCCGTTTCCACTGTTGGAGGCAGCACTGACTGTTTACTGTGCCAGGTTCTCGCGCTGCTTGTTGTATGCTCATCATAGCGAGCTTCAGTCCGTAACGTACAATGCACCCTTTGACAGTCCAAGGGCAGGATGACCCACTCACCTCCCCTCCTGCACGTGCACAATAGTTTGCTCGCGCTCCCTGTTTACGTCGCTTCGGAATACGTGTATAA